CGAGCAAAACAAGTACCTATAATAGATAAAGCTAAGCATAAAGCGTAATAAAAGTAGTAGGAAGATCGACAATTAAGACGGAGAACGTGGAGGTGTATTTGTTTGACTTCCTCCCACATAACACCTGTTGGTGATAACACAGTAGTTGGGATAGTTAACATCGAGGGAGAATGATTATGACGGTGTTGTGTTATATGTTCATCCTAGTTTTCAGTGCACAGTGCATCGTTGAGCGTTCGACATATGAGACTTCTCATGACCACACGCCTTTGAGTCATACTTCTTATGAAGTGTCTTATTCTCAGCGAAAGTTGGTACCTGTTTTTGTTACTGATATTATTAAATTGTTGCATTGCTCGACAAACTCGAACCCGGTTGAGTTGGACAAAGTTCCCCTAGGGATGTACTACCAGTCGCGTTATTACGGGATGTCAGATGGTCGTAGTTCACAGTTAATCGCATATTTTCAACCGTCCCATGGGAATAGACTGCACATCAGACGCAATTGATCAGCAACTAGTTTTGCTCTTTTTTAATAAGAATTTTTGGTGAAAACGAATTCCAGAAAAGCTGGCGTATTCCTCGTTATAAATTGCGCATGATTCATTTGCTAACCATTACTCTATTTAAATACACTTTAAAGCTTCCTCAATAAACAGGCTTTTTCCAGAACTTTGCTTGAGCTTGATGAATAGCAGAGGCCAAGCACTTGTCAGTTTGTGAAATGGACTACAGAAGGCCGTGCAGGGCGCTAAATTAATATGTTTTAGCACGCCTGGATTAAGACTGCACCAAAGTGCTGGAGTTCATTGGTTGATCAATTGCTTCTGTCAAATTTCAACAATTTTTCAGTAACAAAATGAAATATGTAATGGCTTAACATGGACAAACCTGGCAAAACAGAAAAGCCACCGCCGTGTTGTGTTATCTATCTTCTTGCAAAATGCTTTAGAGTAGTTGGAGTATGTTCTTCGCTCCTTAAAATGTTTGCAAAATTCGCATTTACCACTGGTCCTAATGGAGTTTAAGATTGACACTTTTTCCGTGTTCGTGTGTAGATTCCAGTGTGGGAATGCCGTTTTATTTTTTCAAAGCTGCAGTAGTTAATGGGTGTGAATTACTGAGTCTTATGTAAAGGTACTCACTTATGTAATCGTACTTGGTAAACCCCTAATTGCAAAATAAATAGTAGGTATTTTACGCAAAACCATTTCAATTAGAATTGAACAATTGTCCAGCAAAATATTAAGAACTGTGGTCTTATTTAACGGCTGTCCATCATTAGTTCTGTTTTAGTTTTGCACAGGTTTACACATGAAATGTAATTGTGAAAAGCAATGCTTGCCCATAATTTACTTGCAGTCATAATGAGGACAAAACACCATAAGCATTTCTAAATTTAGGGTTGATAGATTTCAAACTGCTTTATGAAGCGATTATGCTTAATCAGGTGTGGCCAAATAGTTCTGCCCTTAATGATTTGATCCGGTTGGAGTAAATGCAAGATTCTTTGAAAAATTGCTCCTTCAAATACGAGCAAGGTGCAACCGTACGACTGTTGTATTTCACCAAAAATTATATGTTTATCAAATCTGAAGAGAGTTCCTCTCTCTACAGTAAAATAACGAATAAATACTTAATATGTGTAGAATATTATCGGTCATCTCCTCACTGTTTCGGCTGCTTCTATAAAACGTTTCCTATGTACTACTTTCATTTCAGGACAGTAATTGTTTTCTACGTTTTTAAGGTTTATAGTTTCTTTGTAGTGCTATTTCAGCTGAGTTATCACTTTTGTAATTCAGAGCAGAAGAAATTCGAATTCTTGTGTGTGGATGGCTGTTTGGGTGTCAATTGCGTGTATGATTCAACGCAATCCTCAGTTTTGTTGGTTTGGAGATTATACTTCGGTACCTCAATATTAAGTGTGTTGAAATCACACACTTTCGGGTGCATAAATCGCACTTTGACTTGTGTTGGTCTCGACTGCATAAGTCATGAACCATAGGTGCACATCTCTTCAGGGACGTCAAGTATACAGTTAAATGATTTACTTCTTGGAGACATTTAGGCTACCGCTTAATGCAACACTGCATTGTTGTAAGAAGGCGTTTGCTCGAATGCCGTTACACTGGTTCCATTTGAGTTTGCTCCCTCAGGGAAACATGCCAGTCACAACGCTTTTATTCTAAACCTATCGGTGGACACTCGCGTGCCGTTCGTAAACCTAGGGTAAAATTTTCTTCGTGCCGTCCTTTAATGTCTTATCAGTTCATGTCAAAACTTTCACAGTG